GCCCATACATATGAATGAAACATACAATATAGGTAGTTCTCTAAACTAGGGTCCCTTTTTAGGGGCCTGTTTTAATAAGGGTGACGTCCTGTATTGGGGACCTAAACAGGAACGCTGATTTAGAGAACTACCCATATAGTTACACACATGTAGAGACAGACACTCGGGTGTGTATGCGTCCAGTATGCATGTCTTTCTGCCTGACTGCCTGCCTGCCTGCCAGTCTGTCTCTCTCTCACTCTTTGCGTCAAGTTCGGATTTGTGGGGCCCCTGCAGGTGTTGCGAAGTCGATGCAATTTAAACCTTGAAAACTATGCACCTGAACCCTAAACCCCGCACTTATGCCCGAAACCCTGAAAACTAAACAAGCATATTTGTTGTCTTCCGGGATCCTTGTATACACCTTAAACCCCTAAACCTCTAAACCCTAAACCCGAAACCCCTAAACCCTAAACCCCTAAACCCTAAACGCCTAAACCCCTGAACCCAAAGCCTCTAAACCCCTAAACCCCTAAAGAAGCTGCCTGTGGAAGCACTAAACCGACGAGGTCCCTCTGTCTGCTGGCTTCCGGTGATGGGGGCGCCAACTGGGAGGACCTCCCCAGCGTAAAGGCTTTAAAGGTATAGGGCTTCGAGCTTCGGGTTTAGGGTTTAGGAGTTTGGGGTTTCGGGTGTATGGCTTCAGGTTCAGGGTTTAGGAGTTTAGGGTTTAGGGTTAAAGGCATAGGGCTTCGGGTTTAGGTTTAGGGGTTCAGGGTTCAGGGGAATAGGGATTCGGGTTTAGGGTTTAGGTTTCCCTAAACCCTAAACCCTAAGCCCAAAGCCATAAACCCTAAACCCCTAGGCCCCAAACCGGGTTTCGGGTTTGGGGCCTAGGGGTTTAGGGTTTTTTGGTCTAGGGTTTATGGCTTTGGGGTTTAGGGTTCGGAGTTCACGCTTTGGGGTATATAGGGTTTAGGCTTTACGGTTTGGGGTTTAGGGCTTGGGGTTCAGGGTTTAGGCTTTAGGGTTTGGTGTTAAAGGGGGCTTTTGAAGAGGGATGTCTGCTTTGATCGGGGTCGTGTCAAACTTGAGCCCTTGATTAAAGGAAACTTGCAGGTGGGGAGTTTAGAGTTTAGGGTTTTAAGGGCTCTTATTGTAAGGACCCTGTTTAGGGTTTAGGAGTTTAGGCGTTTAGGGGTTTAGGGTTCGGGGTTTATTTAAAGGAAACTACAGGTGGGGAGTGTAAGGTATATAGGGCTCCTATAAGGCCTCTATCAGGTATATACACCTTTTATCAGGCTCCTATAACGGTAGCTACCCACTGAAAATGTCTTAGATAACCCCCCCAAGCCCTAACTATCCCTAAACCCTAAATTCTCCCCCCCCCCCCATCAAACCCTAAACCCTACCTTAACCCTATATGACCCTTCCTTTTTAGGCTTCCTGAGAATGTCCTAGACTTGAGGCTGAGGAATCTTGCAGCCGAGGTCTGGGGCTGGCCGGTTCTTTCGGTGGATATGGGGGCATTTAGGAGCTGAGCTACTGGGGTTTAGGGTTTAGGGGTTAGAGGGTTTAGGGTTCGGGGTTTAGGGTCTGGGGGTTTAGGGTTTGGGGTTTAACTTAGTTTCTGAATGACTACACTTTAAACTTGTTGGGAGAATATGACCCCTGGTAGAGCTGAAAGTGTAAATTTTTTGTGCTTCTGAACTCAGCAACTAAGAATAATTAGAATAGGGTTTCGGACTACGTACAGGATAGTTTTACAGGGGCTGTAAGGAGATTTGTATTACTTGAGGTTTGGATGCAGTCCGTAGGTAGAGCAGGGTATAAGCTCCTGGCTCATCGTGCCGATATGAGGATGCCGCAAAGTAGCCAGGGAACCTAGTACCCCTTAATTAAGGAATATTCCGTAAATAGTAATATTAAGGCCAATATAACGTAAGGTATATTCCTTAATTAAGGTATATTGGGTTCTCTGGGTAGCCCGTTGCATCCAACAGGAACTTCCTTCTTTAGTCAATACACCGAGTCGAGCTGCAATGTAAGCTTCCTCCGTAACCCTAGCCCTAAACCCTAAAACCCTAAACCCAAAATCCCAAACGCTAAAATGGCGCTAAAACCCTAAACCCCTAAAGCCCCAAACCCTTAACCCCAAAAGCCTTAAAACCCTAAACCCTAATCCCAAATCCCTGAACCGTGAGCTAAGTGTCTAAGACACAGGCGCTGGAGAGCCTGTTGCGAAGAAGGCGGTTGCACAAGGCTGGTTGCCACAGGATGCATGGCCGAGGGCAAAGGGTTAAGGAGTAGCAGCTGAGCAGCGCATGGCAGCCTCAACAAATAGCAGCCCTTTTTTCCGTAAGAGGCTCAAACTTGTAGCTTCAGGAGTTTAAACCCAACCAAAAGTAAAACTTGTATTCTGGGGGTTCACTGCCCGAGACTTGAGACGAGACAGTCTGCCGACCCCAAGTTCGGCTGCAGTTCAGGACGGCCTTTCGGTGGCATTCCGTTTAGGGTTTGGGGTTTCGGGGTCTAGGGTTGGGATCCATCTCCGAACTTTGCAGAGGACATGGACACCTGAAGGGGATTAGAGCACATGGGGGTTTGAGTCTGTAGTGTTTTACAAAAATCCAAGAATAACGCCTCGATGCACCAAGGGCCGCACCACCCCAATTAACCCCACAAGGGCCCTAATCGGGCAAACTGTGTATGATACAAGGCTTCCCCTTCAGGGAAGCAGCCAAGTTCGTCCTCAATGAGAAGAGATATTCTCCTCACTCTTTGCTGTTCGGGTACACTAAACTAAACCAAACCACGTTTAGGCTAAACTCACTAAACCCTAACATCTTGTGTAAGCCGAGCTATGACCAACCCAAAACCCTAAACCCCTAAACCCTAAACCCCTAAACCCCTAAACCGCTAAACCCTAAACCCCTAACCCCTAAACCCCAAACAGGGGGGGTGAGGGCACTTCTGGCGAGGTGGTGAGGGCAGCGCCGATCGCGACGCGGACCGTGGAGTTTGCGCCAGAGGAGGCTTTCTATTCATGATCGGGTTTAAAGGGTTTAGGGTTTAGGGGTTTGGGGGTTTAGGGTTTAGGGGTTTAGGGGTTTCGGAGTTTGGGCTTTCAGTGTTTGGTGTTAGGGGCTACCTTTGCTCTTGCTTGCGGTTTGGGGACTATGGGTTTAGGGTCTAGGGTGGTTTAGAGGGCGTTTTTCGGGGCTGCAAGCCACTTAAAGCCGAAGCCTGGGGGCTCTATGAGAGGATGACCATGACACATCGACTGTAGGGGCTTTGGGTTTAGGGTTCGAGGGGTTTTGGAGGTGTTCTGTAGGATTTTGGGTTTAGGGTTCGAGGGGTTTTTGGAGGTGTTCTGTAGGGTTTCATAGGAGGGTCCTCAACTAGCAACTAGACTAGGATGTGGGGTGCCTGATACTAAAGTCAGTAGCCTAAACGCATGGTAGCAATACTCGTGATCGAGGGCTTCGATGCCCCCAAGGGCCTAGACTGGGCTCCTGTGAAGGGATTCAATTTAAGTTGCCATAATAGGGATCTATAGTAAATAAAAGCGGGTTTCTCTATTATGGAAACTTACTCAGGGGCGAATTACCTTAGCCCAAGAAAGGTTAACCTTCTGAGTTATAAGAGGTTTATATAAGCCCCAAAAGGTTGAAATTTACCTACTCAGCCCCAAAGCATAAAAGCAGAAGACCCTAAGCCCTAAACCCAAAACTTCCTTCAGGAGGCATCTCCGGTTAGCACGCCTTGGTCCTCAAAGACAAGGAAGCCTCGGCGAGCCATCTCCTTCGCTCATATGAAACCTCAAGCCCTAAACAGCCCAAACCTCAGCTAAACCCTGTACTCGACCCTAAACCCTAAACCCTAAATCATACATCCTTCCTTTCTCTGCGAGTCTTGCAGCCCCTACATCCCTAATCTGCACATGCCCTCTCTAGCTGAACCCTTAGCCCTACCTTCACCCCAAGAAATATAATCGACCTTCTTAAGGACTTACACCAAGAACCCAACAAAAGCCGGTTATTTAGGGCACCGGCAAACCCTAACCCACCCCTAAACTAAACCCTAGTAGGCTACATCTCTAACCCTAAACCCTAAGCCCAGCCCCTAAGCCCCTACACCCCTAAACCCTGAACTACATAGCCCAGAAGCCCTAAACCCTGAACTAAGTAGCCCTAAACCCCTAAACCCTGAACTAAGTAGCTCTAAACCCCTAAACCCTGAACTAAGTAGCCCTAAACCCCTAAACCCTGAACTAAATAAGCCCTAAACCCCTAAATCCCTAAACTCAATAAAAAGCCCTGACACCCTAAACCCCTAAACAAAATAAGCCCTAAACCCCTAAATCCCTAAACTCTCCTCCTCCAGAAAGAGTCGAACCTCGGGACTGGGCTCGGGTCCTTTCAGGTCGAGACCCCGAACCCGAGCGCCCAAAGGCTCAATGGCCGTCCTCAGCTCGTCGGACTGAAGATGTGGGGTTGGGAGGTTAAGGGGTTTATGGGTTTCGGGGTTTCGGGGTTTATGGGTTTAGGGCAGTTTAGGGTTTAGGGTTGGGAGGTTTAGGGTATAGGGCTTGGGATTTAGGGTCTCAGGGGTAAAAAGCTTAGCGGTTCAGGGGTTTATACAGGGGTTTAGAGGTTACGGTTTAGGGCTTAGGGAATTGGGGCTCAGGATTTGAAGGTCCCAACCCACTGGGGTTTATGCGTTAGCTATAGATTTATAGGGTTTAGGGATTTAGGGTTTTTGGCATTTGGTGCAGTAAGGTTTACTGGTTTAGGGATTAGGGCTCTAGCGACTAAGGATTTAGGGTTGAGCTTAAGCAATGAGAGAAAAACTCAGCTCTGTTTCCCCCAAAGTAAGGAGACGCCCTTCCCATACATCCATTGCCGTAAATCGTCACTATCTAAGTATACAGAAGCCAGAAAGAAACCTTCCCAAAGGCGGCCTCGTCTCAGGGAGATCCCATGTTTTTTCAGGATCCCGGAGTCTCGAAGAGGGGGCACGGCGGGAAGAGCCATCCGGGAGCTGAAAGCACGGAGCCCAAACGAGCGCCGCAGGCGCTGCGTGGCGGCCAGTGGCCAGCAGGCCGCCGCCAGGAATCCGAGGGCTGCGCGAGATCGAAGTTGTGGTACCTGAATCTACCCATAGGCTCCACAGTAGTTCCGTTTTTGTGGTTTGGGTTTAGGATCATATTACAAGGTAATCCCAAAAAGGAACTACTATGGAGCCTCTGGGTAGGGATCACAACAATACAAGACAAGAGCCTGACACTAATATCATAAGCTCTGTCTACGATACCCTACTCATGTGAGCCTACTGCAACACTTACATGCGGGCTGCAACCATAAACTGTCTACTCTACCCTACTACCGTACCTGAGCCTACCTAAGCCAACTTTTTGTGGAACATGCAACTCTAGGTCGCGCACCCTTTGAGGCAGCAAACTTCGACGGCAGAGACCCTCAGCTTGCGGCAGAGGTCGCAGGGACCGGGAAAGGTCCATGGAGCCGTCGGCTCGGGAGGCTCGCAGAAGAGTGAGATTGAGCCGAGAAAGGCACCATTGTCCGTAGAAACTACCCTTACGCCCCTAAGTAGTTTCTTTTTGGGATTACCTTATAGGATTCTAAATATAAAGGAACCACTTAGGGGCCTGTGGGTAGTCATACATAACAGCTCTTGTTGAGGGTCCCTTGCCACAAAAACCCTGCTCTAATGATTACGGCGATGATTACGGCCATTATAGTCGATTGTATGGGATCCCAGTTTTCAACACCTGCAGTATGGGGCTGGGTGTGGAACCCCCCAGGGGCCCAACAAAAAGCTTAGGGTTTAGTTTTTGTTTAGGGGCTTATGGTTTAGGGTCATTTAGGGTTTAGGGTTTAGGGCTTTTCTTTTTAAGGTTTAGGGTTTAGGATTTTCCAGTGAGCACAGGTGGGCCGCATGCAGAACAAAGCATCTCTGCTCAGCCTTCTCCGTCTTTCGGGATTTGTGGCGTGAAACTCTGGAGCACACGAGCGTTTCTGAGCACTTTCACTTTCAATCACCTTCAGCATCACCACCACCACGTGTGTTACAACCACTCGGTCATATCGTCATCAGGATTATCTTCACCAAGCCGCAGCAATACCACGCTGCTGATGGCATCGTCTTCTTCGTTTCATCATCACCTTGTCATCGTCGTCGTCCTCTTCCTGTTCCTCCAGCTATGCCCCCAGCCCAATCTGATGAGCGAGCAGGACATATATACGCTGAACCCGAAATCGCTCGAACTCAATTCTCTGCAGCCAGGCCGCCGCAACTGGCTTTCACGCTGGCTCTCAGCGCCACTCCCAAGACCTGCTGAGAATCGAAATATTGCGGTTTTTCCATAGGCAATCTGCAGCAGACATACACACGTCAAACAATGGACAAACAAACAGAAAGGCAGACAGGCAGACAAACAAACAAGCAAACAAACAGACAAACAGGCACACGGAGGTTCAGATGTACATACATACATACATGCATGCATGCATGCATGCAGGCATACATACATACATACTTATTCAGACCTGTTTCTTAGAGTTCAGCCGGTAAAGTGCGGAATAGTCTGAGTAACTATTGAGGCCCCTGTAAGATAAGCCTCTGCAACCCAGAACAAACATAGGATTTGCAATAATCGTTTGGGCTTATACTGCCAGAAACTGGAAAACGATTCCTAAGGAACACACAGTAAACCCTAAACCAAACCCAAAACCCTGAACCTTAATCTCTTAAAATCGTCTGCAGAGGTAGGCTCGGAAACTGAGTCCTTCAGGACGCAGTGCAGAAGCGTTGAAATTTCTGTATATTGAGATTCGGGTTAGGTTTAGGGCTTAGGGTTTAGAGGTTTAGGGTTTATGTCTTGAGATTTAGGCGGCGTTCCGTGATCCGGGATGTGTCGTGTGTAGGTGGACCGTTTCGCGTGGACTTCCATGAACTTGAGCCTGTCTATGTTAAATTAAGTATGGGCTACGGGTATATCAGGCTTACTCAACCTTAAACGCCGCCCCAAATCAAAACACTGAAACCCAAATTTAAATCACCCCCTAAACCCTAAACCCTGAACCGACGAAATCCTACAAAGACTGAACTCTGGATTGCGTCTGAGCTTGCCTCAGAGTCTACAACTGGAGACGCAGAAGGCGCGGCCACTGCATCTTCACCTCGAGTTTGCTGGGCTTGGTGCCCCTACACCCTAAACCCTATAAACCCTATAAACCATAAACCCTAAACCCTAAACCCTATACTATAAACCCTGAACCCAAAAACTCTAAACCCTAAACCGCTCAGGATATGTCTCAAACACGTCATGCACAGTTCATGGGGTCTCGACGAAGTCCGATTCACCCTTGCCGTCTGCATTGGGATGTCAGGGCACTGGCATTAGCCCACTTTGAGTAAGGTGAAGTAGGATTCTGTCATGGTCTCCTGCATTGTGGCTTACTTCTTGCAAGAGTCTTGAGGTTTCTATCGGGTTTGGGCTAAACCCTAAAGCCTATAAACCCTAAACCCAGAGTCTTGAGGTTTTTATCGGGGTTTGGGCATTTATCCTACCAGCCAGGGCTGTTCGAGAGGGAGCAGGTTCGGTCCTCTCCGGCTTTTCGGCTTTGGGGGTTTTGGCCCTAAACCCTAAAGCCCTAAACCCTAAGCCTTAAACCCTACATACCCTAAACCCTAAAACCCCTAAACCCTTAAACCCCTAAACCCCTAAACCCTAAACCGAAGGGGTCGAAAGACTTAATTAAAGGCTTCGGGGGCTTCGGCTTTAGGGCCCGAGTGCCCGATATCACCCTGCCGTGAACCTCTAAAGTCAAGGCCGGAAACATGTCAACCGTTCAGTTGATCAAAACAAAAATGAAAAACATATATCTACATACATACACATGGGTGTGCGTGCGTGTAAACGTATGTGTATATATATATATGTGTGACTACGGTTTTGGCATTCAGAGTGAGGGCAACCTTCACTTCAGCGATGCTTTTGTTTTTGACGGCAGGACCAGCTGCACAGTGGAAGGCTTTTCGGTCTTGATGCCGCCTGTTACATTACTCTTGCAGCTTCCTGCCTTAACCCCGCTGATTCGCTGATTTCTGTTCCGGGCCATGTTAAACAGTCTCGAGTACATACAGCAGCTGTGAGTGTTCGTGCTTCTGATTAGGTGCATGCCAATGGGCTGCTGCCTGATGGAGTCAGTGCCCGAAAGACGTGTAAGACGTGATGAATGAATGAATGAATGAATGAATGAATGAATGAATGAATGAATGAATTAATGAATGAATGAATGAATGAATGAATGAATGAAGGCTTAGTCATTCAACACCCGTGTTTAACGAAGTGAACAAATGAAGCTAACAAATGCGCATGTGTATATGTGGACAAGAAGTGTCTACCTATATACAAATACATATGTGTGTGTGCATATGTCTCTCTCTCTCTCTATATATATATCTGTGTGTGTGAATGCAGGCACTTATGCGTGTATATGTACCTGTATACCCGAACAATCTTAACGGCTTCCTCGTCTGCTACTGACAACAGCAAACCTGGAGGCACCAAGCCAGAAACTCTGTATGAAGTACCCGGACATAAACTTCAAACCCTGGGTAAAGCCGTCACTAACCCCCCCCCCCCCACATCTATGTGCATATCGTTATGCAAACTAACTTAGACCCGCTGCCGAAATACTACGCAACAAATCAAAGCCGGATCTACCCTAAACCCAGCATGAAAACCTGCAGCCAGTGTAAAGTGATAAGCCCAATCCTAAATCCGGTATGAAGAACGGAAACCACATGTAAGCTACCGTAAACCTACGACCCGCGAACCCACGGCTCTAAACCGTATATGAAGGCCTACTCTCAACCAACCCCAAACCCATGGCACCAAGCCGGAAGGACTACACCAAGCTATATGCACACTCACCAATAAAATCACGACGCCTACAACCTATTGTAAACTCGTAACCAAACCCGCTGCCCGCAAGCCGAAATAAACACCCGGCCCGAAACACACGTGAAGCTACCCTAAACCCAACACCCTAAACCAGACCTACACGAAATCCTTGCTACACACTAAACACACCCCCAAACCGGTGCTAAACCAGACCTACACGAAATCCTTGCTAAACCCTAAACACTAAGCCCCAAAACCGGTGGTCTTAGGCCCTAAGCCCGAAACCCTATACCCCCGAACCGCGTCATGAGCTCCCCAGCGACTGAGACTCTTCACAATCGAAAGAACCTGGGGTCTTCCCCAAATTCAGGGTTTAGGGGTTTAGGGGTTCAGGGATTTGGGATTTAGGGGTTTAGGGGCTTAGGGTTTAGGGGTTTAGGGGTTTAGGGTTTATAGGGTTTAGGGTTTAGGGTTTGGGGTTTCGGGTTTAGGGTTTTTTGAGCTTGAGTGTCTCGGGTTTAGGGTTTGGGGCTTTTCGGAGTGTTCGGTGCTTTGGGGTCTTGGGTTTAGGGTGTGGTGCTTTTTATTGAATTATTTTTGGGGTGGGGTTATAGGCACGGCTTTCGAGCATTTTAGAGCTTTGGGGTTTACAGCTTAGGGTTGGGTTTCGAGTATGAAGTTTGCTGCATCAACCATCATTAGCTGACGGTTAGGGTTTAGGGTTTAGGGTTCGGAGTACTGGCGTTATCTGTCTTCTTCTTGCTGCTGTTCTTCGCATTGACTCATGCAGTGCTCTTTTGCAGCAGGGAGGGTAGGGTATATTTCTGCGCGAGTTGGCTGAGTTTGCGGTTGAGGGGTCGGGTCGGGGTTGGGGCTTAAGTATAAGGGCTTGGGCATTGGGGAGCGGGGGGGGCCTGCCGCAGAGCGCCTGGTCCCAGTCGCGATAACACAGGGAGTGCTGGAACAGGGCTTTGTTAAAGGCAAGATGGCCAGGACTGGCTCTCTTCAAATAGCAGTTTTCCAAGACACTTTCACAAGCAATGAGGACACCCCCCCAAACCCTAAACCCTAAACCCTAAAGCCCTCAAAACCCAAAAACCCCAAACCCCCCCCCAAACCCCGCCAAACCCCCAAACCCGGGCTTATGGGCTTAAAGTGCTGGGATCTCGGAGTCCCCACCCAGCGCCAGGTCGACGAACGATCGCAGGCCGCCGCAGTGGCGGAACTGCTGGCCTCGGAAGTGGGAGCGCAACAGTGGGGCTTTTCAGAGCCGCAATAGTTGGGGTGTTCTGACTGGTTCTTAGTAGGGAATGGAGGAATGGGAATGGGTTATTGGGACTACTTTAGGGGACCTTAAGGGACTATCATAGGGATCCCTTCCCCCATTCCCTACTAAGAACCAGAGAGTGTTGGGGCATGTGAAAGTCTGACTCCATTAAGGGAGCCCGTAAGGATCTAGTATTCGCAATTGCTCAGGTCCGAGGATCGTCTGGTACTTAGCGATGACAGGGGGTCTTTGGGGTGTTAGGGCTCTTGGCGTTGAGCATCTAGTGCTTTCAGGGCTTGTGATGAACACTGATTGCCTAGGG